GATATAGAATCATTAATTACGTATACAAACCTTATAAAAAACGTATCATTTCCTTATTTCGATTTCTTATAGGGCTGCTGATCTCAGTTTTTTGAATATCCAGTTACAATTCCATTAGAAATGCGCAAGTCTTTAATTTCAGCAGAACGGACGTAAAGTATTATCATTACATCGGCTAGAACTTGCACATCGGGTGTGTTAGATATATTATACCTTTTCAATCTTTCCTTAACTGATTCTAATGAGAAGTGATCAGAAAAATCAATTTCTTCATTTTCACGTTGCTCTTTACGCTCCTTTTGAATTTTATTAGATGAACACGTTATCTCTGAAATCAATGTAGCTGAGACAATTTTTTTGGAAGTTTCAAGGTTTTGCAACTCACTTCGAAGCCTAGAGATTCAGGATGAACCAGCGCTAGCATTAGAGGCAGATTAAGCTAAGGCTTTAGCTATAGATACTACATCTTTTCACTAAGATTATCTTGGGTAATTCGCTGAGTTATCATTTTGACAGTTTCTCTGTCTGGGATTATGTCAGATACTTAGCATATATTAACTTTTCCCGCTTTATCCTACTTCTTTGGGGTTACTCAACTTCTACATCGACAAATTCTCTGATTAAAAACTAATATAAATGCCTGTTCTTTGCTAAAATTATACCCTTTTTGAAAGTGCTGTTAACCCTTGTCTCGTTTTACTTTATCTGTCAAAAGCTCGAGTAATGCTGAAGCATGCTGGTTAAGTTCATCCTTGCTCATCTCTTTATTGAGTTTATGCTCTGCAACGTACTTTGTTACAATCGTGGACATGATAATGTGAATATGAAGTAACTATTAAATTATGTGTAACTGTTAAGTTATACTACACATAAAAAAGTTCAATTCGAAAAATATTCCTGATAATTTACTACATGATTTTTCTAGTATCCGTTCATGGTCAATGCGTTCAGATGAGTGAAAATAATAATATAACCTATGACCTAGTCAAAAAGGGTATTTCATCAATTTGGGAGGTTTGCTAGGAAAATGGAGCTCTGAGCATTTTTTATTAAAATTTTAATTTTTATTGCATTTTAATGTTTGATACTATTAGATTAAAATGCAATAAAAATTAAAATTTTAATAAAAAATGCTCAGAGCTTCATTTTCCTAGCAAATCTTTCATATGATATGCGAAAAAATATATAATCATAGGACTCTTATCCCAAGGCGATGTACTGATTTATTTGTGTTGTAAATACATTTTAGTAAAATATTCGCGCTAGAGCTATTATATGCTCTGGTTATAAAACATCTGTCTTGAATAATACATCATATAAAGCACTCAGTCTACACCTTGAAGAGTTAAATTCAGGTGATATAGGAGTTTTATAAGTATGTCGTTCCTCCAAGCTTTTGTCTCTTTACACTTCCAAGTTATCCCTATTAATGTAGACAAGCTATAACTGAAATAATTCATTTGGATTAAATTCTGAAGTCCTCCCATTACAGTGGATTCTACACTAATAGGAAACCTTTTACGAATATCTGATCTACTAGCTAGGATAGATAAAAACAGAATTAAGGCTGGATGGTAGAAGTCAGCTAAGATGTCTAATTCAAATTTACCAATATCTATAGTCCCAATATCATCTAAATAATCTGAAAGTCTATTAGCGTATCTGTAACCTTCTTGGATTAGCTTCTGGAATAGCTTTTCATTTAGGTTGACCTATCGGCCGGTTAGTATATTGAGTACTGTTCTTTACATTATGTCTATAGCGTAAGTGAGAAAAGGTGTTTATGTCTTATTTTACTACTGAATAATTTAAATACACATTTATTATAAAATTAATTTGCAATAAAATTGAAAGGTTTCTATATCCTAAAATACTTATATGGATCGTGTTACTTGTTCACATATCAAGAGAAATGGTACTATTTGTGGAAGAGTATGTACTCGTACTACTGGATGTGCAAGACATTGGCATTACATGAAAAAAAATTGGAAAAAAAACCATGCCTTATTTGTGGATTTCCTACTGCTTCTACTACAGGATGCTGTCCCAAACACTCTGCTAGATTTCATGCACTGAATTATCAGATGAGACAGAAGTATATGGATGAGGGCTTTCAACTCATGAAGACCACTGAATTGTCTGCTGAGAAGTGAGCAAAAAATATTATCTACATTACTAGAACTAGAGAAATTGCCTAATAACTATTCGTCTGATGAGAGCTTACTATACTCATATCACATATCTCCTCCTTTTTCCAATAAATTTCTTTTTCTGTTTGATATAAGGTTATTCAGGAGTGTTTTTAGTATTGAATGATCCAACTATATAGTAATATCTAAGACTTTTATCTATAGCCTTAAATTTTAATCCATAAGTTGCGTAAAGTGATGCATTTAATAAACCAAGTTTTGCTCAGATTGTCTTTAATCCTGATTTTTTAGCACTGCGTGATGCATCTACATTATCAAAACCCGAGCCATTTTAGGAACTAAACCCTGGAGATATGATAATAACTCAGGAGAATTCAGACGCATCTTAACGTCATCAGATTTATATCGTATTCTATCATCGATATCCCTAGCTAGTGTGCAAACTCTTAATAATTCGAGGCAAATTCGATGCCTCTTAGCTCGAGTTGCAGTTGTAAGCCTATCTTCTCTATAATCTTTATGGGAAATAGCCTCAACTGCTGTTTCATTACTAATACCAGCATTTCGTAGTTGCCTATAAGCTCTAAACCATTTTATGTGATTGTAATTCCCATATTTTAAGATGAAGTCTTCGGTTAGTAATTCAGATGAAATACCATAGCAATCCACAATATGATACTGGTCTAAAGAACGCATCTCTTCTAAAGTCTTCTTTGGTTTATTCTCCAATAATTCAGCAGTCTCATGATTGACAATAAAAGCATTAGATATATCTGATATTTCCTCTGCTTTAACAATAGAAGAATTCACCTTCACTGTTTGGAATAGCAATATTGTAGTATCTTCAGGTTTAGGAATGAATTCTATGACAGAAACTATCATACTTGCCTTTCAGAGAAAATCAACCATTCTCATACCAAATAAACGTTGAGAATGAAAATTTTTCAACATATATGCTACCCATAATCTAATAGTTGGCACATCTTTATTCTGGATAATAGAATCTATATCTGAAAAAATTCCTCTATTCTGAAGTTCTTGGGAAAGGCATTCTCATTTAGCATTCAACAACCATTGGAATAATCCTTTCTCTGTAATAGGAACATTAGATGATCTTTGTTCGAAATAAACTATATAATCCTTAATACATCACATACGAAATAACATCTGATTCGTTCTGGCATTTGTTTCTATGAAGCTATTAAAAAGACAGAATGCCCACTCAAACTTAGGATTGGTACATAATACTCCTATTTTTAGAGTGCTAGTATAGGCAATTAGGTCTAAGTCTTTCCATAATTCTTCTACATTGCTAAAATCACGAGCCTTTTCCTCAGGATCTGATTTACTATGATATTCCTTGATTTGTAGTTCTGGAAAATCAGTCTTAAGAGCATGAACAATTCCTTGTACATCTTTTCTGAGATGGCAAATAAGTGAAGCACTTTTCCAAGACTCAAAAGATAGTGAAGACATTTTCTTAGCCCAGTCTCAAAGTTCAGCTAATACTGTTTCTTTATTAGAAGCTAAGCGGAACAACTTGCCTTTCTATGATTGATAAGTATTGTGGATAATAGAGAATGGTTTATCCTTTCGAAAGGCCTTAATCCATTCGATATTTATATCAGTTAGGTCATTATCCATAACAATAATATGCCTTGCCTCTTGGATTAATTTATATAACTTTCTATCGTTTGACCTGCCAGATGATTTTGTGCTTGAGCAATTATAGATACTATTTCATCAAGCCATAAATCATATTGGATTGGAGGGTATTTACATTTTTTACCGTATTTACAATTATTAGTAATCCGATGTAAGCTTACTATCTGGCAAACTACCCTTTTGTGATCAGGTCGATTTATATTACCATTAATATCACAATATGATTTGAGATTGAGTCTTATAGTAACAGCATTCGAGTAAAAGTGACGTGTGGATAATACTAGTAAATTCACATCATCAGATATAGTAAGATGCTCTAGAACATATGTTTTTCCCATCTTCCAAGGTGATCCTACATAGATATCGCCTTCATTGGATAATGGTCTTATATATCTCTCCTTATATGTATCTGTCGCTGTAAGGGGATCATTATACTGGACTCAAGATGGGAATTTTATGAAGGCTTTAGGAAAACCTGGGCCTTTTATCTTGTGAATGCTAGACGCCAAAGATATATTTTTATTTTTTTGCTGAATTTTTTCCGCAATAGATGGGTCACATTCAAAAACATCTCCTGGTTCATCACTATTCTGCTGAAAGCATTTTACAATGAACTTTCTACTGCTAGCACATACATGGCTAAACCACTTCTGATCCTTTTCATGTATACATTTACGTAGTATACATTCTAGTAGAGCTTTCTGGTTGAAATATATGAAGTTTTCCTTCATTTCTTTCTTTTCTTCGATAGTCAAATCCCTAAGATAGTTAGAATGCTTTTGCAAAACAAGTTTCGCGTATTTTTGCAATACATTCTGACCTACGATTATTTTTAATAGATTATTATTTTTTTCTTCACTAAGCATCTGAGGTCTTACTTCAAGTCCTAAACTAGAAGGCGGTTCAACCCTAACGTGATTGAATTCATTCCAGTCATTATCTAAAGAAAATTGAAGAATGCGCTTTACGCGACCTTTTTTTGCTGAACCAATAAGACAAAGGTTAAAATTTTGACCAGGTAATTTTCGATCGATAAACTTGCTGAATTTTTTTCCAGTTATAGTATATACTAATTCAGTAAATGCTTTAAGTTCGTGATGATCAATAAGAAGAGCTGATGCGTATAAAATATGGTAACTACACTTGCTAGAGTCCGATAATGTAGTGATTACTAAACTATTGAGAATATCCTCCCAGCTACAATCAAGAATTCGATACAAGGCTCTTATAAAAGATAGGCAGATTCGAAAGAATACTTCTTGCGCCTTAATTTCAGTTATTTTCATATCTTTTTGTAAAGCATCTATGTCAATCACGGCTCTTAAAGGTTTTTGGCCATTAATACATTCATGAATCCCAAGTAGGCTATATACTTCTGAAATATCATCTGCAACAGAAAATTTGGGAGCATGATCACCATCTTGGTCAATTTTGATAACTAATTTATCTTCTACCTCACTTCGGACATAAGCGTTATATAAGCTTGAGCCTTTTTCATTCAGAAAGAAAAATGAATAAATTGGAAGACATTCCAATGATCCTTTATCATTTGACATATCTCTAGATGGTGATAAGGCAATTTTTCAGATTTCACTTATCAAATTCTCAGGAGAAAAATTATCATTGAACTTTTCCTGCCTTAAAGTATATGTCACATTAATAGGTGAGTCACATTTCTCTTATACAAATGAAGTCTTGATAATGCTGGTTGAGACACAGATAGCTTCTTCATTGTCAGACTCAAATTAAACTCGCAATTATTATAATTATCTGACCCTAAGTTGGATCCATTATCAGTACAACTGCTAGAGTCACTTAAGTATTCATCGGACTCAGCGCCGTCGTAGCGGGTAAGCGTTAGGTCAGATCCAGTGCGATTAGTTTGGTCAGAAATAATTGGTGTATACATGTTATCAGTTTGAAAGGAATTATATAACTTTATATAAATCGAAAATG